ATAATTGTACCAATAGTAGTATAGTAATCAAAGAAACCAAGTGAATATATACCTGATAAAGACTATAGAACACCCTGGATTTTCAAGAATATGAAATAACATTTAGAGTGAAAATATTTCCACTGGTGTAATAAATTTTAATTTGTCACCTAATGTTTATTGTTTTTACAGGCTTTAACCTTAAGGTTTGCATCATTTTACATACCTTCGAATATCATAAATATGTCTTGATTTAATCGTAATTTTAAATGTCATTGAGGTGCACAGTTAAGAACTATAAATATATTCAAAAATTATACACTTCCTTTTGAGTAAGATATTATTGGTTGCAAGGTATCTGTCTACCTATCCATTATCCATAGATAATTAGCAAATCAGTTTGCCTATACTTCATATTTTTGGTAATGTTAATTTTTCTCAGCTGGATGGTTTAATCACAAGGCTTTTGTTGTCGTTCTAGACATCATCACCAACAAATCTATTTGAACACATCAACAAAACGCCAGCTTATGCTGTAAATCTCTTCCATCATTTCGATATACTTCATATTTACACAATATAGTTACATCTCGTAAAAGTTGAGGCACTTATTCTATTTTGGAGGGAATTTGAACGTTTCAGCAGTTGTTCGAATGTCATTCTTGCAAATGTACTTGCTAATAATACTGTACATGGCATGAAATATGCAATCGACATACAGTAAAAATGAAGGTTTGGCGGAAATGCTTATTAATAATCAGTTATAGTATTACTATATTAAAGAATGAGTTGATTTCATTGGTACAAAATAAATATAGGAATTCAAGTTTATTTGGGATTATCAAAACGGTTGACGACTAATTAATGATACCTTTTAATTGTTATGGTATATGTGAATCTGAATAAGATAAAATTGTTATATATATGGATCACTGTGAATTCACTTTTTGAGGTCCATGATACGATATGAAATATTTTACATATAGTGAGATAGTACACACCATTTTAAAATTTGACAATGCCGATCAACATTTCTTCATAACAAAGACCATTATTTCCATTTGTTCGTGGAATGCCTTTTAAAGGATTTAACAAAATACTTGGCCTTTGGAATTTATGAAATATTGGGTTGCATTTGTAAAAAACTGACATCTCAATAAAAGTTGCTATCTATATTACGATGGCTAAATCTTTACTTTTCAAACAAGTTATTCCTATTCATTGAGTCAAGTAGACTACATGAAGATTTTGCACAATCGTTTCTCCGGTTGCACTTCACCCATGTTCGGTACACTGAAAGGCATAGTATTCTTATACTACTTTAGTTAAAGGTCGAAATAACTTGCTTTTATGAGAACATTGTTAAGTCAACTTGTCTTTTATATGTCGGTAAATACATTGTCTGGAAATTTATATTTGATGAAGCAATAACAAAGTTGTTTTGTGTGTTTATGTAACAAACAGTGGATATTTTGAATACCTGGCTTAGTTTCTTTTATCAAATAGTAATGCTTGATATTGCTTATGGAAGACATGATGTAAGAAAATATATTTGCCAATATGCACAGCTTGATAGTAGTAATTCTATCGAAAGTGAATAGGGTTTCGATTTGACATTAACTGTTGATATCACACGCGATGCTGTTATCTCAAAGTACTTTGTTGATGTGTTTTGACAATAAATGACTCAACTTATTGGGATTGACGTTCGGCGCCTCTTGATTCTCAACGATTGAGCAACCGATAATTAACTTGATTTCAAGACCATATCGAAATTCAATTCAAAAGTTTAATCTCTATATATGTATGATTAGCTTAGCACACATCATACTCGTGCATGATAAGATTATGAGCTATACTCGTTGAGCGGTTATTAATTAGAGGGTTGCGAACTCACGACTCAGTGGTTAGAATGGAGTCTACAAACAAACATATGTAGTCACTAATTGGTTCTTGGATTATAAGATTTCTTGGTTTTTTACAGGTCCCATCAGTTCGTACAGTGATACCTGGTCAACCGTCGTTAAACAAATGTCGTTTCCACTCATCTGGTTCACATATAGCTGTCGGTGATGATAATGGACGTATTCACATGTTCGACTTGAATGAAGTAAGTGGAATTATTTAGACATTGTTAACTAAGTATTTCTTTTATATTATTCTTGGTCAGCTATCACTTCAGTTTACGAAACAGCGGGACTTCGTTTAAGCAGTCTATTGTCTTAAATCATCAGGGTTATAAATAGTTGAGATATGAAAGTTCCTAGGTTTCGTGATGAATGTGTTCACCAGGTTCCATAGTATGGATACACCTACCGACGCCAAAACATTACTATTTAGGTTCTCAAAATGTTTTGTAAGCGGGGATTTACACGCGGTAATTATATCAAAAATGCCATATATTGACAAAACTACAATTACTATTGTGTGTGTATCTGTGGTCTGTCGATTCCTGAATTGCCGGAATTCGGAGATGGTGACTTTCTGGTCAGTAAAAGTTGTCATCGTATAGATGAATTTTGTGCATGTGACGTACGCAGTTACATGGCAATGATATCATGTTACAGCTGTCACTTGACGACTGTAGGGATTCTAGTTTGTGACATCGAGCGGCATAGCTCAGAATCGTTCGCGTTGGTCCAGGTAGATTCACTTTTTATATCTTCCCTTCGATTTGGAATTAGCATCTTTTCATACACACTTTCCCAAACCATACTCCCTAGATTTAGCCTTTCTATCACTGATACAACACCATTTCTACCTATTTTGTTATTTTCGTCTCGTCATCGTAGTCTAGTATGGCAACTTAAGCCAACACGTAGGTGTGCCAGGCTTCTGTGTTGTCTGTCTGGTTACTTTTTAGTTGTGAGGTACTCCGTTTAGAGCTACATCATACTAATAAGAACAATAGGATCAGGAAATACCTCGTAAAAAACCCCAATAATATTCCCAAGTGGATACAGTCCCGGTTACATATGGTTGATACATCCGTTGATAACTTCACAAAAAAATATCTGCTTTTTTTATTCTTTAGACCATGGCTATTCCTCATGCAGATGAGTGGACGATGTTTTCACATACAATCAGCGAACTTCGACAGCTTGCAGTCGAACAAAAAGAGAACGATGCGGATGCTTTGTTTGGACAACCCATTGTGCCGCCTATACCTGTTATTCACTGAACGGTAGCGAGTTACTCTACTAAACGACAATTCCTAACCTTCTGCATAATTCCCTGTATCGCATAATAAATGTCTACCGATCTTACGATTTACTACTCATTTTAACTTTGAAATCAGCCTCGAATTTTCGTTATCTTAACAACTTTTACTGTGATTTCAAGGTTTTAAGTATTCCGAACCAACACTGTGATGACATTTCCACCAGTTTGGTACTAATTACCACAAGTTCCTTACTGGGATTTCGAACAGATATCATGATGTTTACGAACGTTCGTTAGCTAGTAGCAGTTGAGATCACTTTTGAAAACAAACTTTAGTATAGAAACAAGATAAGCAGACACTCGCTAGTTGAAAAGTCACTTCAAATCCCCACACGAGATATCGATAGGGAAGAATTAAGGCGCTGTCACGGTCAGCCGCTTGAGGTTGCGTAAATCTGCCGGCGAGTTTCACGGCTGTGAACTAATCACTTAGGCAGTGCTTGTCTTATATCATAGGTATGTTGGTCCGATCACAGATCGGATATACTACACAGAAAATTCTGTCCGTTTTTTTTACATAAAGCACAAACTGCAAACAAGATCTCCATAAATATCATTTGACGTCAACTAAGTTTACTTTGATACATATTATCCTCCCTATTATCTTAAAAACATAAAACAAAGATTGCTGCAGACTAATATGGATCCATTTTATTTCGTTAGGCCCTCACCAGCTGCTTACGACCTATAACAAATATTGACATACTTATGAATACGAAAGAGGTTAGAGATGAATATAAGTATCATGGCATAGCGAAGATTGCAATACAGTTGATAAGGTTACAAAATTTGAGAGGGAAAGTTCCCGAACATTGGACTAGTGATTAGGACTTAGAGTTAGCAAACACTAGATGACTGTGTAATGAAGTGATTGAAAACGGACTAATGCTAATTAAGACATGAGTTAAAATCACTCAGTTATGAATTAAAAAATGACAACGATATAATCAAAACTTTGGGAACAGTAGAAATAATGAGTGATGCAATAAAGAGGATGTAATTTTACCAGGACAAAGGGAGACTTACTGTTTCATTTAGGATACGTAAATCTGGTTTCAGACGTTTCATCGCTGTACTTTACTAATCACCTCGAAAGATCTTAGTGTACCCGCTTGATGTCCTGTGTCAAGATGTTTCGACATGGTACTGCCGAATACTTTTAATCCACTTTTTGGAATTTGTCCTTTGAAGCGAACATAGGCTCTCCTTCCTGTTCTACCAATGCATCTGCTTTGGCAAACACGTGAATTTGTATAAACCGCAATTGGTAGTAACATGAAAAGGGATACCTACCGATCTTCGATTGTGTTAAAGACCATCAAGTCAATCAGTTTAGCTGAAGGACGTCATGATACACATTCATCGCTAACATCTTTTGTATACATCCGTAATAACTGGTTTTAAAATATGAGCTGATGAGGACTTGACGAAATAAAATTAGTATTATTTTGCATCAACCTTAATTTCTGCTCTCTTTAACAATTACTTTGGTTCAATTCTTTCGAAGCCTAACGATTTCACTCAATAAAAATTACAATTCAATGACCTCACTCCCTCAAAATTATTAGAATTTAGAACAACACTAGTACTTTACTCGCCTGTATTTTCAAGACTTATTGTTTGTATAAATGTACATGAATCAAAATCCCCGCAAGCAGAAAGTATTGGTTCTGAACTAGTTGTTTACCTGAAGTTGATGGCTGATGAAAGTAAAAGTATTTGAATATTCGACTTTTGCATTCTTTAAGGACATTTGAATAGTAACAAGAGTTAAGTGTTCGGGAATTCAAAACGAAAGTTCACCGAAATGAAATTAATCCGGCATCGATGAGCTTCATTAGTTTGGATGCTATCTCTGGGTTATTAAGGTGTGCACGAAGTGCAGTAGGATCTGACATCTGATCTAGAATAAGGCGCATGGCTGGATCGGACAAGATGGAAGCTATTTCAGGATCGTTCATAGCACGCTTGCGAGCAGCTTCTGGATCGTCATCATTTGTGTATGATTGACTGAGACCTTCTCTAGCTTCCGAACAATCTGGATCTAGCTCTAGAGCTTTCCTGAAGGATTGAAGAACATAAAAAGCATGTAACGTTAACGAATCTTTACACTGTAATACATTGTTTACTAATTTTACAGCCAAGTAGCCTGTGTTGCATTTCACCAGCAGTCGTACCGAACACTTAGTGTGGGCTTACCGCAACATTCCTTTAAATATGCAACTTATAACTGTAGGGTCACTGAATAAACGTCAAATCAATATGACCTTGCATCCCTAAGAGTGCCGCTCGTTTGGTAAGTCAAAAGCAAACATCTAGAAATAGAATTCGTAGGGCGGTCTTACTTGAGGTTGTCAAAATTTTGTCAGTAAATTTTTTCTTCAAATCTAATTAACCTAGTGGTCATTTTATTTGATAAATCTAAAGCTTTGGTTATTAAATCGTTTAGTGGTGAGCGGAGTCTCGAAAGTCGGGATAATAGTTTTGTTGACTTTTTAAGTAACCATCAACAACCTGAAGTTTGAAAGGAAAAGTTAGCAGGATTGAATGTTTTATCTAAGAATACAGAATACCGTAAAATAACGAGCGTTAGACGTAGAACGTCCTGTACTACTGTGAGTGCACTTTTATATCCCCCCTCAGGCCTGTCTTTGAGAATTGTCGATTAAAAAGGGAACTTCTTATCGTTTCTGATGAATATACAATAGTAAGTCACACTAATGGAGAACACTACTGCCAAAATTTTCGTAACGAACACACACTCAGCATCAAATTTGGTTTTACGATATAGAACATATAAAATGGCCATCTATACTAAAGACCTAATAAATATCAGAAGCTAAACAGTTATTTATTGTTGCGCTTTTTTGTGCGATTTATTTGAGAAGTGCTTATTTTCATTCTGATCTATCTTAATTTTCTCATGTTTTAAGACTCGATTGGAAGTCAATAGTAAACGAAAACAGACCAGTAGATAAAAATGATTGACGTAGAAACAGCGGTGTGATAACGTTTGTCAAGAATTCAATAACGATATGGCAATAGGGAAACAGTAGCCCTAGTGGATGTCCTTGATGCTATGCTCTCTAAACTGGATGGTGTAAACGCGAATGTTTCCCGTTTTCGGAAAAATTATCAGTTTCAGCAACAAGCGCCGTCAGTTCACGATCGTACTTTAATGAAATATTCGGGGTCAACGACTTTGAAGGCCAATTATAGCAAAACTGTTAGAATCTTAGGCCAAATAAGCTAATATCATACCAGCCCAATCTCCCCACTGCAAAAATTGTCCGCTTTGAGTAATTTTGGGGAATCCGTAGTAGAAAACTTTGGAGATGGCCTGAAACACCCAAAGTAGGGAGATACTTTAGTTGGAGGCCCCATGATGAGTTCTAAACATAAATGTATTATTATACACCTTTATTAACCAAGTTCTGTAGGAATACTGTGGACTGCGAACTCGGTTAACAACTGAACAAACAAAAACAGACGTTTAAGTACATTAACGTTTGACGAAATGCTAGTAAAGACCTTTGCTATGATGAGTGATCACCAAACACCGACTAATGACTTTGGAATTCATTCATTGTGCAAGGATAACAGTCTACTTAATTGATGCCATTCCAAGAAAAGCTGGTAGCAAGTATTATTGCCGTTTGTTAGGGAACTGAATGTTAGCAATGTTGATTGATTCATAACAGACAAGTGATTATCCATGTTCAAGAGATTGACACTAGGTACCATCTAGTAAATAGCATCATGTCCTAAACTAAAAACTGGAAAAGACACAACCAGATAATTATTGCACAAAAAAACCAATGATGGAAAATTTCCTGAACGTACCGAAAAGCCTTTCTTGCTTGAGTAAAATCCTTCATAGCATTGCATACTGCCCCTTTCCTGAGGTAACCTTTGATGAATTTCGGATCTGCCTCGATGCACTTATTACAATCACTAACCGCTAGAGGAAACTCCATTAACTTCGTGTAACATGCTGCACGATTACTATACAGTTTTGCGTCAGATGGATTTCTCTTTATAGCCTCAGTGTAATGTTTTATGGCAGCTGGGTAATCACCCTTCTGAAAGCATTCGTTTCCCTTGACTTTCTCCATTTCCGACATCTCTGGGTTAATATATGCTAACCTTTCCATTTCCTTCATACGATTTTCTAAAGCTCGAGCACTCTTCTCAACATCTGGTTGTCTAGACTCCGACAGTGACTTGTCGTAATACTTTTTTGCATTAGGATAATCCTCTTTTTTTTCACAAGCATGAGCAGCACGCGCGAACGCTTTGGCAATCAATTTGAAGTCGGCTCTGTTTTCTCTGCCTATCTCAACAGCCTCTTCACATATCTCCACACACTTATCATATTCACCTTTTTCGTAGTACACTGCAGCTTTGTTTGTGTAATACGTTATGCACGTTGGGTCAAGTTTTATTGCATTGTCGTAATGTGTGATTGCAGTTTCGAAGTCCTTTTTCTTGTAAGCGTCATTACCCTTTTCTTTTTCATTATCAGCTTCTGCACGCCCCATAACGACAGCTCGTAGCGCAGTAAAGATTCCAGAACACTCAGTGGATATCGGGAATCACCAGCGCACTCTAACAAATTTGTTCAAGACCCAATACCGTGATAGTTGGATAGCACTGATGTAGTACAAACAAATTGACTTATCTAACTTATTAAGGTAACTTATGATTTGATATTCTGTCTAAAGACTCACTATTCAAAGGTGAAGTAATCTACAGGAAACCTACTGCTGACTCCGAGAAGGCTGCTATTAAACGCAACTCGATTTCGTAAACGTGGCAGTCTGCTTAGCAACCAATCACTTGGAGATACATTAGTCTTACATGGAAACGTTGCGGATAAATCAGACCATCCGAGAACAGTGATGGTATGTTCAGTCATTAGTAATAAGGATAGAAGGTCTATCGACAGATATTAGTCCTTGCAGTTTGTAACACTATGGGGGTCCAATCTCGTTTTGAACACATCAACAGAAGATGCTGATATTACGTGTTCTAGTAGATAATTCTATTGGTTCACTACTTGGTGCGAGAAACGAAACTCCAGAGGTAGACGATCCAATTTCTGTTTTCGAACTTTCTTAGAATATCCTCTCAAATGATCAGTCCTAGACGGAAGGAAAATATAAAACATATTAATACCAGGGTCATTGCACAGTATACGATAAATCAATGTTAGATCACCCCGTATTCTATGGTAAGATAACGGAAACGAGTTAAGGTGTTTCAGTCTGTCTTCATAAGATAGACCAGAGAAATATTTTACAACTTTAGTCCCACGTTGTTGGACTCGTTCCAGCATGAAGATGGACTAGCACTTTAGGAGGATCTGATTGGACTTCAGGTTGGGCAGACTGCAGCGGGCTAAAATTTGACACTTCATAGTGTAAAGTAGTCCATCTGAGACATGTTGCAGACTAAAACTTGCTAGGTTCGTTAAAGCTTGAATGCTGCTGCTGATTCGTCCTACTCGGAAGGGAACAAAGGTTTAAGGATTCAGAGACCCGATAGGCTATTACACTGTGACTGCGCGAAGATCAAAATAAAGACCTATTTTCCTACGAGTCTGGTTTCTTCTATTAATAACGCGAGGGTTACCATAAGGCACGAATCTGGTGAGCCCTGTGAAAAACATATTTGATTTCATTTTTGATTAATAAATTTTTTCTTGTTTTACTTAGTGGTAAAAGTAGACCTTCTGATTATCCGTAAACATAGTCTGGTATATATATATCCATACATAGTTTTTTTTATTATCTTAAGGTATTCGTGCTGTAGTAACCATTTTTCCTGCTATATTGTTCATATACTTCATGTCAGACTCAATACAAACTCAAAACCTGGAGAATTTGTCACCAGTGGAGATAGACACTGTTATGATTACGAAATCCCGACTTCCAAAATTTGATCGTAGTGATGCTGAGTTGTCGTTTGCTCAACTAGAGCATTATTTCACGAGACACTATCAAATCTGAAGGAATTCGCTATAGAGACTTGTGTTCTATCCTTCCTCCTTCAGTCAACAAAGAAGTCCGTGATTTGATTTTAAACCCACCATCACCACAACCCTACACCATTCTAAGACGAGAGATCATGAACCGTTTATCATTATCAGACAGTCAAAGAATCCAAAGGCTTTTCCAAGGAGAAACATTGGGTGATAGGTCGCCGTCACAGTTTTTACGTCACCTTCAAGTTTTAGTGGGTGATAACACAGTGGGTGAAGCAGTCCTAAAGCAAGGATGGATACAAGCTCTCCCATGCTACGTTCAATACTGTTTGGATGCACAAGATCCTGAAACCTCTTTATCTCATTTAGCGCGTATAGCCAATAGGATAATGGAAAGGGGTCCTCCAATTGGATCAAACACGATAAACCACACTCAAAAAGAAGAACCAGCAAAAGATTCAGTCATAGAGCGACTCATTGCGAGTGTGAAAAGTCTCACTGAGGCTGTTGCCAAAATGCAAATAGATCATAGAAACAGGAGTAGATCACCACAACGAACAAGATCCAAGTCACGAAACAGATTACAAATGTCTAGACAATCTGGGCAATTTTGTTGGTATCATTGGAAGTTTGGTGTAAACTTAACAAAGTGCATGCAACTCTTCGCCTGGCCCAAACAAAATCCTAGAAATGCGGGAAACGAGTAACTCCTCCCCAGGTCGCGACGACTGAGGAGGGGCGCCTAACTAGTCGCTTGTTTTATGTTAGAGACAGAAACTCCGGCTTGTGCTTTTTAGTAGATACGGGCGCTGCTCTCAGTATCATACCTAAAAAAACTGAGCTTGGGCGAAAAACATACCCAGTTACACTCCAAGCTGCCAATAAAACTAAAATTGCGACGTTTGGGCAGAAAACTTTAACACTAGATTTAGGGTTCAGAAGGCAATTCACCTGGGTTTTTACTGTAGCCGATTTAGATCTGGCAATGCTGGGGACGGATTTTCTAGAGAGATACGAGTTTCTCGTTGACACTAAGAAACTTCGAATTACACAAAAGGCAAAGAAAGTCACATCACATCACATCCTTTAAATTGATTCAAACTCCTCTAGTAACAACAACGAAATTCCAAGATATACTAGCGGAATTTCCAAACTATACTAGACCAAACCCACAGCCTTCCAACGGCAAACTAAAAGTAAGCCATACTATCAAAACCGAAGGTTCTCCTGTGTTTGCAAGACCCAGGAGACTAGCACCAGATAAGCTCAAAATCGCTAGAGCTGAATTTGACTATATGCTACAACTGGGTATTATCGTCCCTCTGATAGCCAATGGGCATCCCATTTGCATATGATCCCAAAGAAAAATGAAGGCGGTTGACGACCGTGCGGGGATTACAAAGCCCTCAACCGTTAAACCATACCAGATAGGTACCCGATACCGCATATCGAAGATTTCACAAACGGTTTACATGGTATGAACATATTTACTAAAATTGACTTGGTCAGGGCATACCACAGTATTCCGAAGGCTGATGAAGATATCCCCAAGACAGCTATTACTACACCTTTTGGTTTATTCGAGTTTGTACGCATGCCATTCGGCCTGAGAAATGCGGCACAAACATTTCAAAGATTCATGGATAACCTACTTCGAGATATGCCATTTGCACAGGGGTATATAGACGATTTGTTAATTGCCAGCCTCGATTTACAATCACACGAACAGCATGTACGAGCAGTGTTAAAAAGACTGGATGAAAATGGAATGAACATACATCAAGGTAAGTGTGTTTTCGGTGTTCGAACTCTAGAATTTCTTGGGCACACAATAAGCCCAGAAGGGATTACACCCATCAAAACAGAAGTGGACACCATCAAACAATACCCTATACCTAGTTCTCTAACACAACTGAGAAGTTTTTTAGGTCTAATTAACTTTTGTCGCAGATTCACACCCGGTTGTGCACAACTAACGCAACCCTTAACAGATTCACTTAAAGGAAAACCAAAAGAATACAAACTGTCTTCTGAAGCCGTCGAAGCTATTAAACAGCTAAAAGATAAACTGGCTCAGGCATCTACATTGATGTATCCGAATTCTCTTTCCCCACTTGCTTTAATGGTTGATGCTTCAGATAAAGCAGTAGGTGGTACCCTTAATCAGGTGGTTGAAAACGCCTGGAAACCAAATGCTTTCTTCTCGAAAAGACTCGCTCCAGCAGAGACAAGGTATTCTACCTTCGGGCGATAGCTTCTGGCAATCTACCTGACCATTAAGCACTTCCGGCACATGTTAGAAGGCAGGGAATTTATAGTCTTTACAGATCACAAACCACTAACGAATGCATTAAAAGCGAAAGCCGAGAAATACTCACCGCGAGAAGTTTGAAACCTTGACTATATATCACAGTTCATGAGTGATATCCGACATGTCAAAGGTCGGGACAATCAGGCCGCAGACGCTTTATCTAGATTAGAAATGAACGTTCTACAGCAGTCTACAGTAGACTTCGAGACGCTGAAGCATGAACAAGAAAAGGATCCAGAATTACAAAATCTGCTTAAAACAAATAATTCAAGTCTTAAATTAAAACATTTATCTTCGCCTATCGACGGTATTCTAATTTACTGTGACACGAACAAGATATCGCCGCGACCTTTCGTTCCTAAAAGTATGCGAAAGTTGATATATAATAACTTCCATGCTTTGTCTCATCCTGGCGCAAAAGCTTCAACTAAACTAATTAACGCCAGATATATATGGCCGAATTTACAGAAGGATGTACACAAATGGGTCAGAGAGTGTTCGGCATGCCAACACTCAAAGGTTATTTGTCACACAAATTCACCCATAGGTGTTTTCTCGCAACCAGATGCACGTTTTGCCCATGTGCATATCGGCTTGGTAGGCATTTTACCATGTTCGAGCGGTTTTAATTATCTTTTTACATGCATAGATCCGTTTACCAGATTCCCTATAGCCATCCCGATAGCGGACATCACAGCGGAAACAGTAACCAAGGTTTTCATGCAGAACTGGGTAACCATTTTTGGTACACCCATAACAATAACGACGGATAGAGGAGCGCAATTTGAATCCGAACTATTCACTAACTTGGCTAAACTTCTAGGCTTCAATAGGATACGCTGAACGGCATATCATCCTCAGGCTAATAGGATGGTAGAACGTTTTCACCGTCAGCTAAAGACCGCTCTTATATCTCACTCAAACCCCAATCAGTGGGAATACGAACATCTGTCAAAACTGACGCACAGTGTTCAGCAGTGGAAATGGTTTTCGGAACAACTTTGAGACTACCAGGTGAATTTATTAACCCTAACACTAACAGTCAAAAACTTAATTTAGAAAATTACGTAGATCAACTACGGGACCACATTTCCAAACTTATGCCAATTAATACTCGTGAACAATCGCGAGCTATATATATACCTAAAGATCTAAGCAGTTGCACGCACGTCTGGATAAGGTGTGACAAAATAAAGGCACCGCTTAGCCCTCCATTTGAAGGTCCTTTCAAAGTCGTCTCAAGA